TTAAAGATAGTCAGACTTGAAAACTCGACCTTGCCAGTGATCTTCCAAACCATTTGGGGAAGTGCTGCTTACAAATACACTGAACTTTTTTCCAATTATTTTCCTAACATAATTTCCTAGAGGAATTACAAAATGATTATAAGGAGGCAAGGGGTTATATTTAAAAATCTGGGCTTAGTCTTTGTGTAAAGGAACCTCAGAATAGGTCTTCTGAGCAGAACAGGAGAGTTTTTTCAAAGGGCATCTGCCAGGGAGAGGGCAGCTGACAGTCATCCCTGTGTACCCCACAAATTAGGCAACACTCCTGCTACACACAAAAAAAGGATTAATAATAATAATAATAATAACTTTCCTACAGCAGTACTGCAGGTTAATTAACTATCAAGTGTTGTTTTTTAGATGGTTTCCTCCCCATCCCAGTAATTCAGTGATATTTGCACTTCCTGTAAGAACTATGAAAAGATGCAGATTTAAACACACTGGGAAGCTTTTCCATCACGGTATCCTCCAAACAGGCAGAAGAAGAAAATTGCAAGGGCTCTAACCCTGACTGTTCCGGGAGATAGAGTCTGCCTTTATCAACACCCTCTGGCATTCTCCTAGTACTCCTAAAACATCCAAGTCTGAGAAGCAAAACTCAGGTAATAAAAAGGCATTAAATTAAACCAACCAACAGAAACAAATTATCTCTTGTGTCTGTAAGTCTATATCTTCAGGCAAGTGAACACAAACTCAAATTAACTTGGGTTAATGAAGAGAATCGGTTTAAGAGCCTTAGAAACCATTAAATGTATATCAATTGGCAAACTGTAAAAACCATCAACAAGCACTCTATGGCTTCAACCTGATTAGCATCTTGTATAGATTTAGAAACTCACTTCAAGAAAATTTCCTGACGCAGGCAGTACAACAACTCAATTCACAATAAAACCTATTTCTTCATTAAAATACACTGTTAGAATCCAACACCTTTTCGTGAAAAAAAAGACAAAAAAAAAAAAACACTTAAGAAACTAGAAATACAAGTTCCTCAACCTGATCACGGGAATACTGGCATTATACTTAATGGTGTACGACTAGATGTTTTCCTTCTAAGGTCAAGAAAAAGAAAAGGATGTCCATTCTCACATCTGCTATTTGACACTGTACTAGAAGTTCCAGCCAGGGTAATTAGTCAAGAGAAAGAAAAAAAGGAAGTATAAAGTTAAACTCTCTCTCATTGCAGATAACATTATCTTTTATAAATATATATATGGAAAACAATAAAAAAACTAATAAATAAGTTCAGCAAGGTTATAAGATCGATATACAAAAATCAGTTGTGTTTCTATACACTAGCAATGAATCTGAAAAAGAAATTAAGAAAACAATTCCATTTATAATAGCATCAAAAAGAATAAACACTTAAGAATAAATTAGATCAAAGCAGCACAAGATTTGTACACTGAAAACCATAAAACACTGGAAGAAATTAAAGACGACTTAAGTAAATGGAAAGACATCTTATGTCCATGGATTGAAAAACTTAATATTGTTAGGATGGAAAAACTCCCCTAATTGATCTACAGATTCAATGCAATCTCTACCAAACTTCCAACTGCCTTTTTTGCAGAAATGGATGCATTGATTCTAAAGTTCATATGAAAATGGGAGAAACCCAGATAGCCAAAACAACCTTGTAAAAGAAGAGGAACTCATATTTCCTGTCTTCTAAACTTACTACAAAGCTATAGTCTTCTGTGTGGTTTTGGCATAAGAACAGACATGTAGATCACTGGGAAAGCACCAAGAATCCATTAACTCACAAATCTATGGTTATCTAGTTTTTTACAAGTATGCCAATACCACTCAATGGGGGGAAGAATGGTCTTTTCATCAAAGATACAGGGACAACTGCATATCCACCTCCAAAAGAATGAAGGTGGACCGCATCTCATACCATATATAAAAAATCAACTCCAAATGGACCAGAGACCTGGAACCAAGAGCTAATACTATAAAAATTTTAGAAGGAAACATAGGAGTAAATCTTCATTACCTTGAGTTCTTTAAGATACGATACCAAAAGCATAAAAGACAAGATAAAAAATAAAACTGGACTACAATGAAGGTTAAAACTTGTGTACTGCAAATGATATCATTAAGAAAATGAAAAGAAAACTCTTTAGTTTGAGAGAAAATATCTGCAAATCATGTACCTGATAAAGTTCAATATTCAGAATACATAAAGAACTCTTAAAAGTCAATAATTTTTTAAAAAAATTTTTAATGGGTAAAGGGTTTGACTAGCCCTTTCTCCCTAGAGGGTAGATAAATAATCAATAAGCACATGAAAAAATCCTCCACATCATTAGCTATTAGGAAGATGCATATCAAAATCACAGTGAGATACTAACTTATACCCACACTAGGATGCTGTTATTTAAAACAAAAAAAGAAGAACCAGGAAAATAATTGTTGGAGAGAATGGAACCTTCATATATCGCTAGTGGGAATATTAAACGGTTCACTTGCTTCGAAAAACAGTATGAGAGCTCCTCAAAAAGTCAAACATGATGTTATCACCTCGATCCCTGGGTTGGGAAGATTCCCTGGCCTGGAGAATTCCATGGACTGTATAGTCCATGGGGCTGTAAAGAGTTGGACATGACTAAGTGACTTTTACTTATCATATGACCCAGGAATCTCATCCTGGGTATATACCAAGAAAATGAAAAACACCGTTCACACAAAACTTGTACATAAATGTTCGTAACAACAGTCAAAAAGTAAAAATAACACGAATGTCCATTAAATGAGAAAAGGATAATCAAAATGTAGTATATCCATACAACAGAAAATTATTCAACAATAAAAAGAATGACATACTGATCCATGCTACAACACAGATGAACTTTGAAACATTACGCTAAGTGAAAAAAGACAGACACAAAGGCCACGTTTGCATTTATATGAAATGCCCAGAATCCTAGAGAAAACCCCTAGAGACAGAAAGCAGATTAGTGGTTGTCAGGAGATGGGTTAAGAGAGGAGTGAGGAGTTACTGCAAAAGAATATGGGGTACATGAAGATGTGTTAGGATATCCCTGGTGGCACAGTGGATTAGAAAGCACCTGCCAATGCAGGGGACACGGGTTTGATCCCTGGACCAGGAAGATTTCATAAGCCACAGGGTAAGCCCACGCACCACAACCATTGAGCCCTGGAGACCGTGCTCCACAATCAGAGAAGCCACCACAATGAGCAGCCTGCGCACCACAATTAGACAGTAGCCCCCGCTCGCCGCAACCAGAGAAAGCCCACGCGCAGCAACAAAGATCCAGTGCAGCCAAAAATGAAAATGTTCTAGAATTAGAACATTTGGTAGTGATGGTTACATAGCTCTGTGACTATACAAAAAACTACAGATTTATATACTTTAAAAAATGATAAATTTTATGGTATGTGAATTATATCTCCAGTTGTAAAAAAACAAAAAACCAGGCACATTGTTAATACCACCTTATATTTATTTAGTTCCACTTTTTAACTCCCCTAATCTTCCAAAATCGCCTAAAGCTTATCAACAAAACCACAATGTTAACAACTGATCGATGAATTTAGTCAAATATCCTGTAAATATTTCTCATTCTTCTTTCCAGCCCCTTGCTTGCCTCCTGTCATGGTGAAGACATGCTTAACCTCACTTGTGTGGTTTTAAACAGAATAGGAAGTGAAATTACTAAACTGAGAAAGGGAAAGGCAGAAAAGATTTAGAACAAATAATAAAAAGAAGGTATTCATCCTTTCATCTCCAGCTATGCCTCAGAAAACTTTCTAGGGGATCAGGAAATCACATCCTTTTATTAGTTGACAAAAATTCTCATTAAGTCAAATGCTATAATTCCTCAAATCTGATTTCATACATAGCTGCCATTCAATCATTTGATATAAGTCTGATCCCCATGCAAGTATGCTCTTCATAAGAGACCTCATTCTTACATATATAAAAAGTCAAATCTAAAAAACACATAGATCAGGAGATAGTAACACAATAGAAAGACGACTCACAGGTTAAATGAATTCCGTTATTATGTATATGAAGTATGACGAAGTTTACAAACTTTTTTTCATACTAATGTTTGGAAACCTACTTATTATAAAGTGGATGCACCTAATTATTTGTTGCATGATACAATGTTCCTATCTCTGCCATGCACTGGAGCACAGAAGAGTGCATTAATAAAACTGTATTTAAGAAAAAGACACAAACATACATATGTTCAATTTCTTTCTGATCTTTTTAAACTGAGTTGATTGGAAGAGCTAATTAAAAGTGATTCTTTTTTTTTTTAAGTGATTCTTATGTAAGCCAAAGTTTTCAAGAAGGGAACCATGACCCATTATTATAATTTTAAAACTATACTATTATATAATTTGAATTATTTATTTTTTATTAAAAAAATACCTTCCAATGGTAAAGGTTATTGAATTAACAAAAACACAGGTAAGAATTTAGGCAGTTTATCTCAAAGCAAAAAAATCTAAACTTTCCACTTCTGTCTAATGAACAAAAAATAAACAGCCTTTCACACTGACCTGAAAGCTGAGCATTATATTGATTTCATAATTTTGCATTTTACTTTCAAACATTCATACAAAAGAGTGGCTATGGCTAAAATAAATGAAAGGAAAAATATGCAAAGCTATGGCCACATACACACTTCTCTTATATCAAAGTTGAGGATTTAAATTCAAATACTGCTCTCCACTAAGGAAGTCAAATTCTCCTGTACTCTGCATTGTAGAGAAGGAAAGCATGGAAATCCACTGGACCTGCAAGATAAAACTTATAACACACAGTTAAAAAGCTGTATGTTAATTTTAACAAATCACTATATTTTAATACAGCAAAAACACCTGTCATTATTTACACTTCTTTAATGAAAAAGAAAAACAGAACCAAAAACACTTTATAACAATACACACCACAAATGGCCTCTACTCAGTCATGGGCAGAACTATAGAATTATTTCAAAACAATCAAAATAATTGAAGTCTAGGAGGGGAAAACCTACCCAGTATAAAGGCATGGGAAATTTTAGTTTCAGTTTCAATACAATGTTATATAAATTAAACAAAAATATTACTCCAGACATAAATGACACAGCATTACTTAGTCCTGGTAGGTGAACTCCAAATAATATATATTCCCTCTGGTTTTCATCCACTAAATGTATGTTGGGATAGTGTTGATATTTTAAAATATAAATCAAAGGATTCTCACCAAAGCTATGTAAAATTAATTTGTTCAAAATTAGGATAAGATGGTTGGATGGCATCACCAACTCAATGGACATGAGTTTGAATAAACTTCAAGAGTTGGTGATGGACAGGGAAGCCTAGCGTGCTACAGTCCATGTGGTCGCAAAGACTGAGTGACTGAACTGAACTGGTAGCACAAATACAGATTATCCAATTCAATTCCTTAACAAATAATAAACTGACGATTGAGCCACACCAATAGTCAAAAGTTCAAGTGCTTATTAGGAATGTCTGCGAGCTTCCCTGGAGGCTCAGTGATAAAAATGACAATGCATGACAATGCAGAGGACAGGAAAATTTGACTTCCTTAATGGAGAGCACTATTTGAGTTTAAATCCTCAACTCTGATACAAGAGAAGTGTGTGTATGGTCATAGTTATGCATATTTTTCCTTCATTTATTTTGCAATGTAGGAGACTACCTGCAACGTAGGAGACTCAGGTTCAATCCCTGAGTCAGGAAGATCCACTGAAGAAGGAAATGGCAACCCAGTTCAGTATTCTTGCCTGGAAAATTCCACGGACAGAGGAGCCTGGCAGGCTATAGTCCATGGGGTCGCAAGAGTCGGACATGACCTACTGACTAAACCACCACCACAATACCACTTCAAAATCTCAGTAGCTGAAGAAAGTCTGGGAGAACTGCAAAAACCCCAAAGTTTAGGTATAAGTGTGGAATTGGTAAAAGCAAATTAAAAGTTAATGACAGAATGTAGTCATGCTTGTGGGTGACATTTCACAAGTCTATGGAAGGCTCAACTGCATGGGGCAGCAAATTATTAGTTTACTTACAGGGGCAGAACTGACATGCCCAGTCCTCCAAGTACAGATGGGTCTGGAAAAGCAGGAAGCAAAACACCATATGATAGCATGCTGAACAAATAGAGAAGTGTATGAAACCTTCCCTGACCAAAGTGGAATTTTTCCAGAACATTCCATTAATGCTTCAACCCATGTTACTTCCTCTTCAGCTCTGACATTTCTCAACCTGGCCCTTCTAAATAATGCAGTGATAAACTACGAAATAACTGCACTTATTTGCTTACATGTGAGTAACTGCACAACTGTGAAGTTTTGCAATTTAAAAACTCTATTGAAAATCTGAGTTCCTTATCCACTGGTTCCACGTCTTCCTTCCTGACATGCAAGGCACCTAAAAGCAATATCTGATTTTTATATGACCTATAACAAGGACCCCAAAACATTTTTAAGAGAAATCCTTCATGCTTTCTGATGTTGCAATAAAAAAAAAAACAAACTAAGTCCAAAGGGTGCTGAATCAAGTCTGAAAATCAGGTTTCTAAGGCCTGATCTGACACCAGGGTGACCAACTGTACCAGATCACCTGAGACTAAGAGATTTCTCAGGATGGGAGTACAATTAGTGCTAAAACCAAGAAAGTTCCAGCCAAACCAGGACTAGCTGGGCTCCCTATGGGTGATGATGGCTAAATCACAACCCACTGGGAGCAAAGTTGCAAACATTTAGATAGAATGAAGGATGTAGGAAAGAGGCAAGGTAAACCAGAAGGCCTCCAGGGTCCTTTAGTTGTCATTTATTACAACCCTATGAAATATTTATACCAGGTTTGATTGGAACGTATACTGCATACCACAAGTGTATACTTAGGTAGGGTCAGAGGGCACTAGGAATATTTTGTGAAGCTATGCATTAAATTTATTAAATTTGGCGCTACATAAGCTTTAATAGTAAAACAGAGCTAGAAGTTTTTAGTTTTTTTAATTTTCATCTCTATAGCAAAGAGGAAAAATAAGCTGCTTCTAGAAAATATCAAGTCAACAGAGAAAATTCTTCCAATACCCACATCGAGCTTAACCCCATTCTCTCCTCCCAAATCACTGGAGACCTAGGACATCTGGATGAAAGTTTAAAAACAGAACATATTACTTTGACTTACTGATAGCCACTATGAAAGAATACATTTCCACATTTTTGAGAAAGTAAGAACTTAGAAACATGTATAACTATAAAATCCTACAGAAAAGTAAAGGCAACTATAGCAACCAGCAATAACAATAGAATTGTAAAAGAAAAAAGGTAAGAAGATCTTGAATTGTTAAGAGTATGGTCACTTTCAAATATGTTCCCTAACTTTCTATCTTTAATCCTGAAGAATCCCACTTCAGAGGATAACAAAATAAGTTATATGTAAGATCAAGTCACATAAACTCAGGGGCGATGAAATGAGAACAAACATTTGGACTTCCTCTTTCCTCCTCGGGCATTCTAATTTAAGATAATATCTGACTTACTGGGACTAATACAGATCCTAACAAAAGCATTTCTGCCATGAAGATTGAGTGATGCAAAATCTCTGAAAGTACAACTATGAAAGAAGTATTACTCAGTTATTATTTTTTAAGGCAATAACACTCAGGGAAGCTTATAAGAAAATGCCTTCAATCCGAAGAACCTACAATATCCATGATATATACTTTTTTCAGTCATGAATGAACTAGTCCATCAGGTCTCATCAGCATCCCAAGTACAGTGGCGGCTGAACCACCACTAGCATTTGTCTCACCTGCTCCTTTATGAGAACTGGTCCTATGAAAAGTCCTACATCACCAAGAGATTTCTCACTAGCTACTTCAGGGCAGCCTCAAATCCGCTTGCCTATTCACACAGGTGGCTCCGCACACACACATCCAGGCATATGTTTCCCTTTGACTCTTCCGAAAGTAGTTTCTCTTCCCAAATCAGTCAACAGTTTGTGCCCAAGTCTATCACAAATGCTGTGGGGACATGAAGGTGTGTGCGAGGAAGGGGATCCAGGCCTTCAGGATAGTTAAACTTGACTTGGGGAGATAAGACATATTCTCACAAGGAGTTCCCAGTGCCAGCAAAAGAGATGGCTGTGTTATTAGGAATATGTGGACGCTATCACTTGCCTATTACTTGCATAAATGACAAAGCTTTCATCTGAATAGGTAAGAAATCCATGCTATCTATTTCAAATATATTGGAACACAATGAGTATACAATAAACAAATACAATAAACAAAAGAGTTTGAGTATGTAATAAGTAACATACCAGTGTGCGATAGTAGGCAAGATGGGGCGAGAGTCCTGTTTTTGTTCATTTGCTTTTTGGTCACACTGTGGGGCACGTGGGGTCTTAGTCTCCTGACCAGGGATCGAACTCATGCCCCCTACAATGGAAGCTCAGTCTTGACCACCAGACCACCAGGGAAGTCCTGGGATGAGAGTCTTAACGGCCAAAACATCACCTAAACTCAGGAAAGGAAGTCAGGGAAAAGGAATGGTTTTGCAATTATTACCTCAGCAGTGGCAACAGCAAAGGAGAGTGGCTTCTGAAGGCTTTTCTTGAAACCCAGGGGTGTGTTAAGAATACGCTGCTGGACTAGGTTCTCAGAGGTTCAGGTTTTAACCCTAACTCCTTCACAATCACATCCTCTCTTGCCCTGGTTTTCTACCTGTACTACTTAAGGTTTGAACTAGATGATGGCTAATATTCCTCTAATGAACACTTCTGGTAACCCTTTCCTTGATAAATATATCCCCTTTTCACTTCCTCTGCTCCTCCTCCCACCCCTACTAAATTACAATGTATACTTTTAAATTATTCATGAATCAATGACTTTAATTTTCTGTGTTTATATATTACTGGCTTTATGGCAACTGGTTAACAAAGCAAAATTTTAATTCAGATTGTTAACATCATCAGTTTTATATTATCTAGTCCTAATAACCTAGCCAGATTAGTGTGCCATATTATTCAATGTTGTTACAAGAAGTTTTGGCATAGCTATCATTGCCAATGGTGAAGATCAACTCAAATACTGATGTATTCATTGTTTTTAGCTGGTTTAAAATTGGCTTGGCTACACAACAACCAAGAGTAAGAAAATGTTTAATTTCTTTTTTAAGACAATCCAGTGACAACATCTAAGTATGACTTTGGTATAAAATGGTTACATAAATATCCTTTCATTTTAAGTCTTATTAAACACATGGTGTTTAGTAAAAAAAAAAAAAAATTAAGTGCAGAAGAAGATAAATATGGGTTGCAATATCAAACTATTTCTATTATCATTTTAATCTTGGAAATCTTATTTGGACATCTGAATGTCAGGACAATTAACATCTAGTAACAGCAATGAATTCAAATAAAACGAACTCCAATAAAATGCTGAACAATACAACACTCTTCTAAGTCATTTCAAGACAGAGAAAAAAGAAATCTAAAATGGAAAAGGAAGAACATACTCAAGCTTCCATATCATATTATGGTATGATAAGGTATAATATCATACCATATTATATTATGGTATGATAAGGAGAATAAGAACAAAAATAAATCAGATAATTGAGAAATATGCCGGAGGAGTTTTTCAAATACTATTCTTGCTTGTATCTACTAGCTCCACTCTACACTTTAAAATTTGGCCAAATTTTCAAAGTATTTGTTAAACAGTTCCTGCATCTGACATATGTTTCCAGGATACTTCTGACATTGATATAAGAGATTATAAAACATTTAGAAATGAAAATGTTACTCTCCAACAAAAAACACTGTAACTTCCAAGCTTCTTCTGTATTCACAAGATGGAAAAACATTTGGAAAATAGTAGCTTTCAGCTTTAAAATGTTCAAATAATATACTTTAAAACAAACACAAAAAGTGTAATTGTTCAAGCCAGGGAAGAGACAAGTCTAAATAAAATAAGATCCTAAAATTTATTCTAGGACACATTCCCTTTCCTTTGCAGTCTCAATCTTCTTTACTCCATAATAAGTAAATTCTTTTACCCCTTCAGCTGGGAAGGACAATTTTTACTCTCCCAAGGTGATGACAATACAACTGCAGTGCTCACCCAGCAAGAAACGCATAAATATGAAGTAGCGTCAACTGGATCAAATGAAGTGTATGCAAGAATTGCTTTGCAATACATTAATTTAGGAACTCAGCGGAGAGGCTCCTACTATATCTAGCTGATCTAAACTTGAGCTCATGATAACACTGCACGAAGCTATGGTAGATAAAAGTGATAGGTAACGCCAATAGCACAATCCCACTGACAACACAAACTCCTCCAAGAATTCTTCCAGGCACTGTGATAGGATACATATCTCCATAGCCAACTGTAGTCATAGAGATAATCACCCACCAGCAGGCAGCGGGGATGCTGGCGAAGTCCTTGTTGGATGTTTCCAGGTCCAACCCATGTTCAAGAAGCTGAGAAAGTGCACTAAAGATTGCCATGGCAACACAAATGAAGACAAGTAACATAACCATCTCTCGGTAGCATCGTTTGAGAGTCAAACCAAGTGTCTGCAGACCAATGAAGTGACGGGCCAGCTTAATCACCCAAAAAATCCTCATCATTCTAAGCACCCGCAAGGTGACTCCAGCCCTCTGCAGTTGAGAGTTCTCGCCTGTAAACACGGTCATTAACACGGAGATGTAATACGGTGTGATTGCCAGTAAATCAATGATGTTCAGGGGTCTCTTGACAAACTCACACTTGTTTTTGGAGACGATGAACCTCACGATGCACTCCGCAGTGAACCAACCTATGCAGATAGCTTCAATTATCCTGTCAAGAGAACAAAAGAAGAATTGATCATTTTATTTTTAAGCATTTTAATAGCTCTTAGATTTCTTCAGATAGTACTACACTGACATACTAATTTAGTTACTTTTCCAAAAAACATAAAAGAACAGACAGCATCACCAACATCATCAGACCCACCAAGATGGAACAGAACAGCAAATACTTCAACAAACGAAAATTGAACTTGATGAAGTTCTTATTGATATACAGCACGTAATACCATTAAAAAATTTGTTTGCTTATCACTAATACTGTAGAAAAATCTATCTCTTACATGGTGGCTTGAAATTAACTTATATTCAGCTTGCCACAATATGAAATGTTATTCCATGAGGATAGTGGTTCTCTAGTATGATATAAGTTATTAGGTGAATCAGAAGGACATGGTTCCTACAGACAGTGGACACACCCAAGCTCTTGATGATTTATTTCTTGGTAAATAAGAGTGAACTCAAGATCGTTTCCTAAAATGTTACTGTTATTTCTTTTTCTCTACAGGCTTGTGTGGGAGACACTGACTCTGAGCCTACTTTTAGGCTTTGCAGGAATGCCAGTGCCTTTGCCAGGAGAGTACCAGATCATGACCATCCTTATCACGAGCGTCACAGTGGAAAAAAGGCTGAAGATTCCCACAATGGAGCAAAATAATCACTAGAATTTTCCCAAAGACCCAACAAGTTTGCTTGTTTGTTTTCCATAGCTGTTTTCATGCATCATGTATTTTTTTTTAATATAAGGTCATATTTTACCTAGATCAGTATTTACCAACCTTTTCACATCACTGCACACACAGAAAAGCATGTACTTAATAGAGCATACTGGCATCAGGGGTAGCATTTCTGAAGTGGAAGCCACCAGCCTTGCCTCACACTCCCCAAGGCTGAGGAATTAAGTCTCAGCATACTGGTTAGGAAGCCCTGATAAAGAGTTAGAGGTAAGACTAAAGGGATTTTTAATTAAATTACATTTTAAATTCAAAAAAGTTATAATTGAGACTTCCCTGGTGGTCCAGTTGGTTAAGAATATGTCTTACAATGCATTGGACGCAGGTTTGATTCCTGCTTGGGGAACTAAGATCTCACATGCCTCAGAGCAACTGAGCCCGCATCACAGCTAGAGTCCGAACACCGTGACGAAAGATCCTGTGCTGCAACTAAGACTCAATGCAGCCCAATAAGTAAATAAATACGTATTTTTTAAAGACATGATAATCATTATACCATCATTCATTTTTGCCACTTAATTCAGTCTTGCTACTGACCTAGACCCAAACCTGAGAAGTACTATGGAGAGAGAAGAAAATAAAGCAGGTGGGATGGTAAGGTTTGTGGGGTGACAATTTGAAAAGAATTACCCATGGTGCATTGCACAGAACACAAACTGCACTGGACGTTACTCATGGAAATGAATAAATAAAATGAACCATATTCCCCTACTACAGATGCTGGGAAAGATTGAGGGCAGGAGGAGAAGGGGCGACAGAGGATGAGATGGTTGGATGGCATCACCGACTCAATGGATGTGAGTTTGAGCAAACTCCAGGAGATCATGAAGGACAGGGAAGCCTGGCAGGCTGCAACCCAGGGGGTCACAAACAGTCTGACACAACTTAGCCACTGAACAACAACAATCTACCTACAGTGGTCCCCAGAGCCACAGAGATTAATTTTATTTATTTCCTGAATAGGTGATAAATTCACATGGTTTAAATTTCAGAGGTTAAAAAAAAGTATAGAGTGCCCTATTCCCCCAGCACTCAGTTCCCCAGTGTTCACTTCAGTCCCGATTCCTCAGGGCCCCAGTTAGAAGGGCAAGAGCCACTGACCGCCAAGAAAGCGGAAACCTAAGTGTATTAATTTCTTGAGGCTACTGTAAAAACTTGGTGGATTAAGACTAGAGAAGTCTACTTTTTCACAGATCCAGAGGTCAGAAGTGCCAAATCATTATCATTGAGCCAAAATCAAGGCTGAGGAGGACCCACTCCCTCCGGAGGCTCCAGGGTAGAATCTGTTCCTCACCTCCTCCAGCTCCTGGTTGGCATCCCATGGCATGGAGCCACATCGCTCCTATCTCTGCCTCCGTGGCCACTGTGTTAAATCTCCCTCTGCTATCACCGTGTAAGGCTACATGTGTAAGGATACACCATGTAAGGATACATTTGATAGCATTTAGAGCCTCGGGGACAACCCAAGACACACTCCCATCTCAAGGTTCTTAACGTAATATCTGCATGATTCCTTTTGATATATAAGGCAATGTCCACCAGGGGCTACACAGGTGGCGCTAGTGGTAAAGAACCTGTCTGCCAATGCAGGTAAACATAAAAGGCACAGGTTCGATCCCTGGGTTGGGAAGATCCCCTGGAGGAGGGCACGGCAACCCACTCCATTATTCTTGCCTGGAGAATCCCATGGACAGAGGAGCCTTGTGGGCTACAGTCCATAGGGTTGCAACGACTGAAGCGACTTAGCATGCACAGTGTAAACTGGTTACCAGGATTTAGGACCTGCCTTTTTTTGTGGAAAGGGAGGGATTATTTTTCAGCCTACACACAAACCAACCAGGAAGATGAAGTCCACAGTGAAAGTAATTCAACCTACTGCCTGGTGAGGGAGGTCAGCCGATGAAATCACAGCTGTCCCTGTTTCTCTATTACCTGCGGCTTGGCACACAGACCCCATTAATCGGTGGCTGGCAGCAGCTTCTCTGTCCCCATCAGACTATCAATAAAAGCTACTGCCATAATGGCTTCTATGAGCCCTGAGGCTTAAAAAACTGGGATGGTAATGAAACTTGGTAGATCTAGAAAACAAGAGGCTGAGTATTTTCAATATGCAGATTTTATAAACATAATACCATGCATCCCTTCTCCCTGACAACACTCATCAAATACTCCATGTGTTCCCCCATACCTCTAGCCCTTTGCAGTTAGGCAGGGTCATGTGACCAGTTCTGATCAATGAGCTGTGAGCAAAATGACTACAGTTCAGGGCAGAGGCAATGAAGAGTAGGTGTGAATTCTCTTCCCATAAAGGCATGTATCCTAAGAGGCTCCAAGATGGTATGGTCTCTATCAGCCCAAGTCCCTGAGTACATGTGCAGAGAAAGACAGACATTCCCCATCTTGACTCTGACTGGATATGGTATGTGAGCAACCAATAAATCTTTGCTGTTAAGCCACCAAGATTTCTAAGTTGGCTGTTTGTTGTTGATGTTGTTTAGTTGCTAAGTCATGTCTGGCTCTTTTGCAACTCCAAGAACTGTAGCCCACCAGGATTCTCTCTGTCCATGGGATTTCCCAGGCAAGAATACTGGAGTGGGTTGCATTTCTTCCTCCAGGGGATCTTCCCAACTCAGCGTTTGAACTTGCGTCTCCTGCCTTAGCAGGTGGATTCTTTACCACTGAGCCACCACGGAAGCCTGTCCAAGGTAATAAGCTGGTAAATTCTAAGTAATAATATATGCACTCAAAAGGGATCGCAAAAGCACAAAGCAATCATAATAAGTTTTCTTAGATCAGCTGTGGGTCTTCCCCGTTCCCCAGCTAGAGTACTATGTCTCCTCTCCAGCCAGACATGAGCAAGAGCTCTGGACCTGATGCAGACAGCCCCGCTGCTGCTCTCGCTCTGATCTTCTAAGGGCTCTCCCAGCAATAAAATCCTAAGATTCGATTAAATTAAGAAGAGTAAAAATACTAATTGTGCCAAAAACACCAGAACATTTTCAGCTAATTACTTCCACTAGCAGCCAAATTGTTCAGATATAAAAGGAGGAAATCCGAATGATACGAAATAATCTTTCAGTAAGGAAATTTCAGAGATAAAGTCATCTGTAATGAGGCCCACTGGGCTCCTCCTGTCCACCCCCCAAGTCAGACACGGTTTATACAGATTCCATGCGAAAGGGATGAATCAGTGAGAAACCCCAGGCATCCCTCTTTCACCAAGGATTATGCCAAAGCATTCTCCAACAACAAACACCACTAAGCCTGCCAAACCTCCCCATGTTTCCAAATGGCACTGTCACCAATGCCACCTCCAACAGCTGATGGAAAACTTGAGTGCTGTGTTACTGAGCATTACAGCCAACGACTGGGTACTCCGTGGGCTACTTGTACAAAAAACAAGTTGGAAAAAAAGAACAGAAGATACTGAAGGATACCAGAAGCCTCAAAGCCCATTCTGATTTCTTTTGAGGCCCAAAGATATAGAAGCTAATGAATTCACAGCCTAAAATACATTTCCCACTTAATCAGGCTTTTCAATTGGCAGACATCATCTAAATTAACCTTTTTCTCTAGGGCGTGTGTATTTCCCCGAATACCTCCATTTTACAGATGACAAAACTGAGGCTGAAAGTTAAAACATCTCTTCCAAACATTCTTCACATAATGAAGAAATTGCTGTGGCACAGGTAATGAAACCCAGATCTACTGGGCTTTGAAGCACTAAGGAACGTCTGAACACGCTTATAATTTTATGACAATGTTCACTGTTAATATTAAATGATATAGGTCAATCACTTCATCTCCATGGTTGATGTATTAAAGCAGATTTTTCACACTATTGGTTCTTAACCCATTAATGGATCAAAATTGACAGAGGTCTTTTTTTTTGGAAATTAAATAGAAATATTAGAGTGCATCAAAGTATAAAACTTTTGCTTCAGTTATATATAATTGTATATTAAATTACGATGAAAAATGTATTCCTTTCTGTAGGCACTGGATGACCTCAAAACTTGCTGGCAATCACCAGTCATTCTAATTCCCCTAACTGATTCCTCATAATAGAAGGCACTTATGACAATGACTCAGAGGTTTACAAACAGGCTCCACAGGAGAACAAATGCTTTTAGTGCTAACGAGTTCTACCACCACACCCGCTTGCCTGCAAAAGGGTTTAGGACAGGACACTGCTGCTGCTAAGTCACTTCAGTCGTGTCCGACTCTGTGCGACCCCATCCCTGGGATTCTCCAGGCA